ACTGCGCCAATATTTACACAACTTTGATGGACATGGACAACATGTTTGCCTAATTTGTTGAAATTCCTGGTTTTCTTTCATTTCGATTTCGGTTTCTATACATCATTTTTTAGCTATTTATAACTGGCATACGAATTGGTAATTTGTTTAATGATTCACTTAGAGCACATTGACGCATTTTATGAACTGTGGGAAGAATTCGGGGCCCAGTTAACCCGAGACAAGTATGTTATTTTTCAGGCCCCCTATCTAAGGCATTTCGTTGCCTATCTATGGCAATTGTATCTGTCGTATTTGTATTGAATTGTTGACCCAGCTCGTTAGGCAACAACGCCCAGTCAGACATGGCCCGATAAGATTATGGACAAGGGGGGCCCTTGCCACGCAGAAGAATTGGGTTTTTTCGTTGAAACTTAAAAGCGCTTGACTTAAGCTGCGGGCTCTATCAAATAGTTTGCGGCACAATTATTAATTAGTTAATATTAGTCGAATCTCTGCGTTTGCGGGCTATCCCAATCAAATGCTAATTACTTTCTGTTTGCCACAAATCTAAGAGGTGTTATCTTAAACATTCTCGGAAACAAATTCAAAATTATAAACACACGTGACGTCACAGACCACAAGATCAGCATATAAAATTCAATCAAAGTGTAGCAGACGACGAAATACCCTTGCAAGAAGCCAATTAACAGATTTGTAGTGCATAAAAACTCAATTTTGGAACAGACAATTTATATGGTAACTATATAATAAAGTCAGACCAACGGGCTAGTTTATGTTATATATTGTCTACAGCTATGAGAAGAAACTATAGAAAGTTTTAACAAAATAGCTTTACAGGAAGCTGAGTTCTCATAGTTAGGTATTGGATATAGTGGAACGATCACGCTGGTTCTAATCTTTATGGCAGCAACAGCAATAAGAAGCATCTGTAGCAAGTTTTAACAAAATAGCTTTACAGGAAGCGTAGTTCTCATAGTTAAGTATTTGATATAGTTTGACAATCGCGTAGGTTCTAATCTATATTGCGTCCACAGCAAGAAGAGGCATTTGTACCTTGCTTGGTTCACATTCAGGTGAAGCTAGACAAATAGATCAATAGTAATAATAACTTTATGGAGCATTGCTTGTGCCACACACTTCATAAGGAACCTCTAATACCCACCATATAGAAACAGCAAAGTATTTGCTGAAGATCTGCCCACCATCTAAGTACATACACAACATACAATCATACTCTGGACGCAGCTGTTCTTATGGAGGCGTCTATGTTTATTGTATGGCCTCATTCATGGTTCCATTCATGATTGTTTCATGAGTTATTGGCAGGCGGCGAATGCTGTCTGCATTTAACGCAAGCGAATCAAAACAAATGTCTACATTATTTTCAATTAACGCGCCAATTTATAACCATTTTATTGCATTATGAAAATTGTCTAGCCAAAAGTTGAAATTCTTGCGAATTATGCGCACGGCAACAAAATTCAAAATACATTTTTGAGGATGTTTTTATATACAGTTGATGGATAAGCTAGTTTCGTATTGAACGAATGGTAGAGAGGGGAGAGGGGTGAGGGGAATATAGATATTGACAGTCAGTTAATAGAATATGCAAATAGATGTGTCCTGGTATATATGTGTATGATTAGAACATTTACCAAGCACATTTTGCTTTTCCTTTCAATCCGACTCGAAGTTAACCAATTTCACTAGTTTTGTGGAATCCACTTGAGTGCGTGGAAATGCGACTGCAATTTCGCAGATAGACCAGCTTATTCCCAACAACAGTTGCCTCTTTCATGATCGTATTTCATTGGCAAACGTGAAAATTAAGTGGAATCATTCTTTCGATATGTATTTCATGAATGTCTTCAATGATGAACTAGTTATATGTGAATATTGTGGTCGTGTACTAGAAACTTTTCGCGTTTATTTTGAATATGAAAACAGAAAACAGAAAACTGATGACTCAGTTGTTGATGTTGTTTTTGTTGTTATTGTTGTTGTCGCATTACCAACTTTCAATATTTTGTGTTGACGCGAGCTGAATGTGTTTTGGCCCACGAAAGTGGCCAAAAGAGCAGCAGCCGCAGCAGCCAATTGACAACTGTAAAACATGGCCAAGTATGTACGAATAATACGAACACAAATACAAACACAATTACCAATACGAATACGAATATGAGTTCCAATACGAATACGTAAACGTAGACGGCATATGCAAATGACGTAAGCGCACGGTAGCTAAACGCCGCATAAATAGCCAAAACACAGAAGGAGGCCAAATCGAACAAAAAAAAAAAAAAAACAAACACTTGAACCTCGCGCATTGAACGAATAATTTACAATCGGCTAACAAGGGACACATGATTTATTAGCGGCAAACATTTGCGAAATTACAAAGGCGCACCCACACACACACACACATACACAGAAGCAAGAGAGAGAGAGAGAGAGAGAGCGATACAGTGGCCACTCGGCTAATGCAACTTTCAGATATGTTACGTGTTTACGTTTGTTTTTTATTATTTCATTATCTTTGACGTACTAAAAACCGTTGCGACGGCTTACAGTAAACATAACGTAAGCGCCACAACGTAAGCGGTCTCTCATCAATCAAATTGAATTGCGGCAAAGCTTTCAATTGATCAACGATCAATGCAAAACGTAAGCTCGACGTAAACGGGCAAGGTCGCCGCCTCGTTTCATTCACAAAATTCAATTAGGTTCCGGTTTGAAACGCCAGAGCGCGCAGTGAGAGCAAAGCGCACTAAAGAAAGAGAGAGAGAGAGAGAGAGAGAGAGAGAGAGAGAGAGAGAGAGCGCGCGAAGAGCGGGCTCAATGCAAATTGTTTATTAATAGTTTTGCTCATTTTGTGCGTTCTATCGATTCTATTGCTGCACGTGCTTACGCCCGCCAGCAACAACAACAACAACAAAGTTGCCGACACGTCGCTATCGCTGCTTCGCTTGTCGAGTTTTATTTTATTTATTTTTTTTTTTTGTGCTGTTATTTTTGTTCTTGCTTTGCTTCATTTTGTGGAGCTTGTGAAGGGAAATAATTACATTATTTGTTGTTGTTGCTGTGCGCTGCATTTTCGAGTGGATATTCAAAATTGTTTGCAAGCCCCTTCTTCTTCTTATTCTTTTTTTGAATTTAATTTTGGTTTTTTATTATTATTAGCTGTGCGCGCCTTGCTCAATGCCTAAAAATCTGAACAGTAAATAAAGTAAAATTGGACAGGAAATGCGCGCGTCGGTAATATAATTAAGCCGACTTGTAGGTCAAAATGTGGGTGGAAGGGGTTGGGGGAGGGGGGATGTATTTGGTGTTGCAATAACGGTAAAAGCACACACAGACATACAATCAAAGCTGACAGCGGATAAGTTAATAATTGAGAAAGTGTGTATGCGAGAGAGCGTGAGAGAGAGAGAGAGAGAGAGGGAGAGGGGGAGATCGGTGACAAATTACAAATGGCGGACAATTATTTGCAGCTTTAAACGGCAACTTCCGCGCAATCAGCGAGAGAACCAGCAAAGCATTAGACAAATTTGCACATTTAATCAAAGACAATTGAATAATTGCGAGCATTAAATAACTGGAGTACAGACGACAATGAGCTATAAGAAAGCAAGTGTGCCAGACTAAAAAATACCCTAAGCCGAACATCAAATGAGTTAAGCTCAAAACACGTGCCTGACGATCGATATTTATCGATTTCGAAAAACTAGATTTTCCAGTTACACATTATATTTATGCACAAATACATTCTGCCCCTTAATTCCCAATTTTACTTTTATACAGGGTATACAAAACCAACAAGGAAGAAACCAACACACACACAAACTCACATATATATATATATATGTACTTAGGACAGTTGTTCTTTGCCTGCAGGGGCGGCAGGTGTGCTAGAGCGAGACAACAGTCCAGTGCCTAAGACAATTGTCAAGTGTTGTCGCCGTTGTTGTTGTTGTTGTTGTTATTGTTGCTGCTGCACTTCCTACTAGGAAATTCTATAGAAAAATGTGCAGACGGCAGCAACGCTTTCCAATGCAGTAGGCAAGTGTCATTTGAGACGCACACACAAACACTCACACACACGGCGCAAGATCTGTGCAGCTGTCACGGTTCATGTGCGCGTGTGTGTGTGTATATATAAATGTATTTTATGCTCTTTTTATTGTATGCAGCAAAATGCATAAAATCAGAGAACAAACAGCAGCAGCAGCTGTCGCAACAGTAAAACTTACACTCCACTTCCAGTCGAAGAGGTGGGGCGGGGAAGCCATGAACTTTTGTGCTCAATAGTCCACTTGCCAAAATGGCTGGAGAACAGCAAGAAATTGCATAATGTTGCCAAAAACGCCATTTGGCAGGCAGCGGCAATTGAATTTCGCTTGATTACGGCACAGCAGTGGCGCCCTCTGGCGACGCACTGATTCAAATTGTGCCAAATTGCAGCAGTCGCAGTCCCCATTGGAATGATCATCATCATCATCATCATCATCATTACTTATTAATCATATTGCTATTCATATTTTTCTGCTGGAAAACTGCGGGTGGTCAATTTTGCGCATTTTCAGTAACTCACATGTATGCAAGTGTGCGTGCGTGTGTGTGTGTGTGTCTAATTTTTCCATTTCTCTCGCCCACCTACGGCGGCATTCAACGAAATTTGTTCAATTTTGGTAATGCGAGAAATTTTTTCCTACTACCTGCAGAGCAATATATATGTATATATATGTGTGTGTGTGAGTGTGTGTGTGTGTGGTTAAGGCGTGGGAAACGCAACTTGCCGAAAAAAAAAAACGAAAAAAAATTGCAATTGTCGTCGTAGGCGCAAGGACGTGTGAAAATGTGCTAAAGACAGGAAACGTGAGCGTGCAGACGCCCCGTAGCTTGTTGCCAGTTCCTGGAATATCAACTAACTGACTTCCAGCTAGTGCATATAAAACATAATTGAGCAATTGCAAATAAGTAATAACTGTAATACGCACCTTTTGGGAGAGCCTCTCTCACACAGTGAGCGCGTATTCCAACACAGCAGCTTCCCGTTGCGTTGACGAATTGATCGAAAAAAGATAACAACAAAAAACTTTCGACTGACAACACACGAAATTGTCAAAATTCCATAAGCACGTACAAAAAACACACACATACACGCTCGCAAAAAGTCGCGAATATTTTGAAGGGAAGGGGGGAGGGAACGTAAAAGAGTGAAACACTTGAGAGCTTTTGGCTTTTTGGCTCTTAAGTCGTGCGAGTGTTTTTAACTCGTATTTTTATTTTATATTTTGATTTTATTTTTCTTTTGAGCTGAAGTCGTCGACGATTTTTCACACTTTTGTTACGCTTTTGCCGTTTTTCTTTTATGCAGCATAATTATTTATTTGCTTTGGGAGTAGCCACACAATTTATTTATTATAAATGCTCTTGGCTCCCACACACAAACATACACGCACGCACACACTGAAACACGTACGCAACGCAACGCACCGCGCGCTCTTTCCCTTTCGCTCGCTCGCTCGCGCTGCAAAACACATAGACAGAATATTCATTCACGATACGTTTACGATACGTATAAATGATCTGCGCGCTCGCTCACACCCATGGGGGCGAGAGCAGTTGATATTGTTTTTGTTGTTGCTATTGTTGTTGAATTTTGTCTGTTTGTCTGGCGGCCGTTGATGGCTGCGGCTGCGGCTGCTGTTGTTGAAGAAAATCCAAGAAGAAAAATATTACTAGTATATGAAATGAATGCGACCGCAAAGCAAAGACGCACAAAAAGTAATTAACACAAAAAAAATGAGTGCTGTTGTTGTTGTTGTCGTTGCGGTTGTTGATGCGCTCCTCGCAGACAAAATTCTTATTCTATACTTTTCGCTATTTAACTTTAGATTTGATTTTATTACTTTTTTTTGCTTTATTCAATTTTTCATCGTTTTATGGTGTCTTAGACGTTGTCTACCTGTGCCAGCGCTGCCGACGCCGCTGCTGTTGCTGCTGCTGCTGTTTTACGTTGAACAAGCACAAAAACAGCACACATACACGAAACGTAAAGTGGGCAAAAGCAAGAGCTAAATACGATACGCTGCGGAACGAACGGAACCCGTATATATGCACGCGTTTGCTGCTCACATTTGGAAAGGCACTCGATTGCACGTTAATCACACATAACGTGCCGCTGTTATAAATTTTCGATATTATTTTGTTTGTTTGATTTAAGTTCGCTTTTTACATTTATTTCGATTGCGTGTTGCATTTGATTTCGATTTTTAATTGCTGCTGTTGCTGATTTTTTCACTGTGCCACAAAACCCACTCGCGTTACGCGTTACGTTACGAACGAAAGACAAGCGTTTTATTTGCCTGACAGCGACAGTCTGAGTGCAGTGTGGCTGTAAGCGGCTAACATAATAATGCAACACACTCAGCAAAATACCAAAATAATCGGGAGCAGAATGGCGCGTTAACAGGCTCGTTTTTGCGTTTAACAGCGACGAAACAGTGCGTTAGCTATGCCTAACAGTGCTGTCTGTTACGGCTATAACAGCGCCTTTTTCAGTGCGCAATCTATCGCAATCTGGGAGTTAATGACATATTTCTATACTATATATATATATATACAGCTAAATATGCTAAATATTTACAAAGCACTCTATATGCTATGTAAATACCGTTGCTTGAACTTTTAAATTGCCACAATAATAAAAAATAAAAGGCTAAAACCAGCTATTTCTTACTTAAGCCATGGCAGCACTGACCACATATAACAAGATAACATTACGGCAACAGGCACCTTAACAGCGCCGCTTGCGCTTATGGGCATCACTTTAGCGCAGGCGCTTTGCAGCACTGCCCAAACATGTGTTGCTAACACGCGCTTTTTTTTTTTTTTTGATAAACATAAACAAAGTTTTGCTTTAACAAATAAATGGGTGTTCGCGGCCTGACCAGCTACATAGCGCAACGTGCCGAGCTCTACCTAAAGCCCCACGAGCTGCACAACACCGCACTGGTCATCGATGGCGACAACTTGGCCTGCAATTTGTACAAGGATGTGACCGGCTGCTACTCGGCCTTTGGCGGCGACTACGACGACTTCTATCGCGCCGTCGTTGAGTTCTTTCAGGTGCTCGCGGAGTGCCAGATACGCGGCTATGTGCTGATGGACGGCGGCTACGAGGAGCGCAAGCTGCGCACCGTCGGCAAACGGCTGCGCGGCAAGATTGCGGTCATCAAGAAGATAAATCCGTGCGATTCGATTACGCTCTTTCCGCTGCACCTCAAGGAGGTGTTCGTCGACGCCGTCCGGGACTGCGGCGTGCCCGTCATGCGCTGCGTCTTCGAGGCGGACGACGAACTGGCCGCCCTTGCCCGCAAGCTCAACTGCCCCGTGCTCTCGTACGACTCGGACTTCTACATACACAACGTCCAGTACATACCCCTCATCACGCTCACCGTCAAGGTGCTCACCAAGCAGCGCCGGAGGGCGGGCGAAACGCAGCGCCCGCTGCGCCGCCACGAGGCGAAGCACGTGGAGAAACGCACCAAGGCGCACAAAATCCTATCGGGCATAACCAGCAAGGAGGTGACGGCACAGAAGCCCGTAAATCCCGTCAAGAGCAGCTATAAATATCTCGACTGCTGCATCTATCGTGTCGAGCATTTGTGTGGGCGTGGCGCCCTCAGCCCCGAGAAGCTGCCGCTGTTTGCGGCTCTGCTGGGCAACGACTACATAGCACGGTGTGTAAGGCCGCCCGATGCGATATGCCCTGTAAAAAAAAAACATAGAGTATAATATAGGGTACAACTGCTAAACAGTGCTGCCAAGTTCGCTTTGTTTACACTACAACCTTAACTGTTAGCTAAATTGGCAGCACTGGTTCGGCTCCGATTTACAAGGCAATCTTCCATTTCCATCATCAGCCTTTAATTCCCGTTGTTGTCGTCCATTTCAGCTCAGCGTTTCGCAACTTCTTTGCCGCTGGCATGGGCAAAGCGGGACGCAGTCGCAAATTGAGAAAGCAGCAGCGACGCATTCGCGTCATTTTGCAGTGGCTGCGCGAACAGACGGCCGAGTCAGCGCTGGACAAAGTGCTCTCCCGACTGAAAAAGGTAAATCGTATAAGTATTAGCAGAGAATGATGCGAGCTTAAACCCTCATTCGAATTCTACTTACTGTATTGCAGTTCCAGCGCGATTCTTTGGTCTCTCAGGTGCAGGCAGCCATTTCTGGTTATTCGAATGAGCTTTGCCACGCCTACGAATTCTTTGAGAAGCACTACGAGAATGCATTTGTTCACGTGGAGGCAGCTAGCGAGGCTGAGGAGGAAGAGGAGGAGGAGGAACTAACTGAAGTTGAGCAGTTGGCTAATCTCTCAGCAGAGAGCTCTTTCGAGGAGGAAGAGGAGCTGGAGCAACTAAGTGAAGAGGGAAGCTCATCTGAAGCGGAGGAGGAGCAGGAGAAGGCAGTAGCTGAGCAGCCGGATGCAGAGCAACCGCAGCAAAGCAGCAACGCAGAGGATGAGGAGGAGGAGGATACAGAGGAGGACCAGGAGGTGGAGGCAGAGTATGCACCCGATGTGGAGGACAAGACGCTGCTGTTTCCGCAATGGTTTCTCGACAAGCTCTATCCGGCTCATCTGCCGCGCTACTTTGTGGATCTGCTGCATCTGCGCAAGTACATCAACAATCCGCAAATCGAGCACTTTCCGCATCACGACGCCAACGCTCTGGCCCTGCCCATACTCAACTACAGCTTCGCCCTGCTGCACCATGTGGCTGGCGCCGCAACGCCGCCCAAGCTGGATGCCCAGGGCCAAACCCTGCCCATCGAGTACACGTATTTGACGCGTGCCCTGCGCGTCACAAATGTGCGCTATTATCGCCAGCCCATCGAACGGATGCCCGCCTATGAATTTGTGCCCACGGCGCCGGATGCACGGCATTTGCGTGCCGTATTCGAGGCGCAGGTGCCGCATGCGAATGTGCCGCGGCTTTTCGAGCAGCTGCAGCTGCTGCCGCCGGATCTGCAGCTGTACGGGCTGGCCATTGTCTACTGGCTGCACAGATCGGAGCACTGTGATCTGCTGCATCTGCACGCGCTGCTGTTGTGCCTGGTCGTGCTGCGCACCGTGGACGTCACGATACCCGCCGAGCGGGATCGCCGGCAGTTTCAGCGTCGCTTTGGCAAGATCTTGCGCCAGGAGCGTGCGGTGCGCGACAAGGAGGCGGCGGCGGGCATCAGGCGCGGCGTTAAGCCCGCGCTGCTGCAGCTGCCCGTGCCGGAGCGCATGTCGCAGGTGCCCAAGTCGGACTGCTATCTGGTGCAGGAGCGCCTGTTGCCGCACTTTCACATGCAGGAAATCTTCAAGAAGAAGTACGATCTGTACTCGACGAGCGTGCTGCACGCCTTTGCCGAGTTCCAGTCGGTTGTCTACCAGCTGAATGGCCTCAATGCGCTGCTCGATCAGCCGTTCCGCAGTCCGCGCATGAATCAGCTCTACTGCGGCGCCTTCATCTATAATCTGTATGATCTGCTGCGCAATCGATTGGATGTGCGCTATCATGTGGAGCATTTCCTGCTGGCCGATTCGCGTCTCATGTTCGACTTCTATTGCTTTCTGTATGATTGGTGTGCGCCTTTTGTGCCGCCTTGGAAGCAGCAGTCGGCGTCGGAGCAGGCCGCCGCCAAGGTCGTCGAGAAGAAGCGTCTCAAGAAGCAGCGGCAGGCGGCACGCAAAGCGGCTGCGGTTGCGGTTGGCGCTGACGGCGCTGATCCAAATGCGGAAATGCTGCAGCAAAGTGAGAACGAGGAAGATGCATTTTTTGATTTAAACAACAAATTCTGTGGCCTTAAAGTGTAAATATATGTAAATAAAACGTTTGGCTAACATTTTCAAATTGACGCGCCACATCTAAATGCAAGCGGCAGTTGACAACACTGGCAAATACTTTGTTTACATTTTAACAGGGCAGCGCCAGAGTTGAGCACTTAACAGCGGTGTTAACCGAAATCGATTACAGCAATCGAGCAGCAACGTCGCAACTGTCTCTGTTAACTGAATGACATTTAATTTTTCTAAATGCTGATTTGAGCAAATTATATAAATCTTTATATGACTGCACAGCAATTGTGCAGTTCGTCTAAAATTGCAATCTGATTGTTGCAAATTGATTGCGATATATATAGAAAAACAGCATGTGGCGACAACATAAAAGGCAGCTCGGCTGGTGTCATACCAGCATAACGCCAACGCGTCGACTGCGCAGCTGACGACGCTGCCAAGGCAGTTTTTTGTTATCGTTGTAATCAGCACACACACACAAAAAAAAAGTAGGAGTAAAAGGAAGAAAAACAGTTGCGGACGCGACAAAACTAATTTGCGATTAGTTTGTAATAACAATAACACTGCCAGCAACTAAACCATTTGCTGTGAGTCAACAACAAAAGCGTTAACAGCAGCCCTGCCTGGCAACAGCATTAGCCAAAACAAAGACAAAGCAGCAGCAGCAGCAAGAAATCACAACGTCATTTGGCAGGCGACGCACACGGAACTGCAGCAGAGGCAGAGGCAGCGCAGCAGCAGCAGCGGCAGCAGCAGCGTCGTGTGGTAGCAGTAAATGCTGGTTAGCCTTTACGCGCAGCTAACACGCGGCATGGACAGCGTTTTCGAGGCCTACCTCGGCCCGGACAGCATGCTGGCTGGCGCCGTCGGCGAGCCGGAGGATATACCAAAGCGCAATACAGATGTCTGGCTGCTGGGCAAACGTTACAATGCCATACAAGGTGAGCGCGCGAGTGTACAGTGAAGACCCCGTTGAGCGAACAGCGACCGTTGCACTCAGCCAGGGGGCGACTCTAGCGTCGGGTATGCCCGATTAGTAGATTAAAACATACCTGATCAGTTCCAAATCCAAATTGCAAGACTCTCCGATATTGACAGCCAGCCGGACAATGCTAGATCGGGTCATCATATATATTATTTATATATATATATATTATATTATGCTTACCCGCTGCCTTTTGCAGAACTGGAGCTGATCCGACGGGACATCCAGTCGCGTCTGTGGTGCACATATCGGCACGGCTTTGTGCCGCTGGGCGAGGTGCAGCTGACCACCGACAAGGGCTGGGGCTGCATGCTGCGCTGCGGCCAAATGGTGCTCGCCCAGGCCCTGATCGAGCTGCATTTGGGCCGTGATTGGTTCTGGACGCCAGACTGTCGTGATGCCACCTACCTGAAGATCGTCAATCGATTCGAGGATACGCGCAAAAGCTTCTACTCCATACATCAGATTGCCCTGACGGGCGAGTCGCAGAACAAAGCCGTCGGCGAGTGGCTCGGACCGAATACCGTTGCCCAAATACTCAAGTGAGTAGCAGCTAGCAGCTGGGCCGTACAAAGCCGGTTAACAATGCTTTAATCTAATTCCACAGAATCCTAGTGCGCTTCGATGACTGGAGCTCGCTGGTCGTACACGTGGCCATGGACAGCACCGTGGTGCTGGACGAGATATGTGAGTGGGCATCGGATGCGGCGAATCTTTGCTCATCTATTTTATTTGTCTTGTAGACACACGCTGTCAGGAGGTCAGCGCGTCGACGTGGAAGCCACTGCTGCTGATTGTGCCGCTCCGGCTGGGCATTAGCGATATTAATCCCATGTATATACCCGCTCTGAAGCGCTGCCTGGAGCTGAGCAGCAGCTGCGGCATGATTGGCGGTCGGCCCAATCAGGCGCTCTACTTTCTGGGCTATGTGGACGATGAGGTGTTGTATTTGGATCCGCATACAACACAACGCGCCGGCAGCGTGGCCCAAAAGACGACAGCTGCGGAGCAGGAGCTGGACGAGAGCTATCATCAAAAGTATGCGGCACGCTTAAGCTTTGGCGCCATGGATCCCTCGCTGGCCGTCTGTTTTCTGTGCAAGACGCGCAACAGCTTCGACGAGCTGCTGCAACAGCTGCGCCAGGAAGTGCTCAGCCTGTGCACGCCGGCACTGTTCGAAATAAGTCAATCCCGTGCCGTGGACTGGGACACGGCGGACGATATTGAATGGCCCGCCATGCCGGACATTGATTGGCCCGCCGCCAGCGACTCGGAGTCCTTTGCCATGCTGGGTGAGTGATAACAATTCTCACTCAATTTCCCTGTGTCTCTTATCAATGCGCTCCAATTGCCAGGCAGCGGCAGCGACGTCGACGGCAAACCCAATCTGAGAGAGGCGACGGCTGACTGAGAGAGCGAGCAGGAGAGACGGAGAGAGAGAGAGAGAGAGGGAGAGAGTGCGGCGACTGCGCCGTGCTCAATATTTGTAGTTAAACCTGTACGAAAACTGGAGCAGCTGGCCAGCTGCCCAGCTGTGCAGCTCGAGCGGATGCTGCGGCTAGCGAATGGCTATAAACTATAAGAACTCTAGTGTTAAAATTATAGCTTACTTACGAACACACACACAAACGAACACACATGCAAACCTACTTATATGTATGTATATATATATATATATATATATATATATTTAATATGCTGCTCTATTGTAAGTTTGATTGATTGAGAAACAATTTGGCATCAAACAAACACACACATATACACACACATACAGACGCATTGTTTATGCTTTCTTTATAATACAAAACTACCTTATTAATTGATTAAAACATCACCATTTTTTATATGGAATTTAAAGAGTAGTTTCTTGCTTTTTATCTTTATATGTATATGTTGTATATGTATTCGTATAAGTCGTATGTGTGCTCACACACACACACACACACACACACATACATGCTCAAAAAATGGACCAACAACTAAATACATAATACTTGGACTATATGTGTATGTATGTATATAAATTTCACTAGTTTTAAACAAACCACATGCACATTAGACTGGCTTTTCAAGCGGCCCCAACAAAAATGTTGCAAGTGGCACATTCAATTTGTGGCAATCGTTTTTTTTTTTGGGGGCATTTTTAAACTTGTTTTTTTGCTTAATATTATTTGTTTTCAATTATGCAATTCGATTAATCTAAACATTTTCGAAATATTCGTTACTGGCGTTTATCGAAATTTGACAATATTCTATATATATATATATATATATGTGTGTATCGTGACAGATCTTGTCTTCAGATCTTTAAAGAGTTCTATTAGATAATTTATTTCCATTTCTGAAATTGCAACGTTCGAAATTTAAACATTAAATACTTGGAAAATTTTTAAAAAATTTTCAACGACTCTTGGCGACAATTAAATTTTGAAATTGAGTTAAAATTAAATTCACAGACTCTTAACTAAGGCGACATTTTTAATATATGACTCTTTCTTCAAAGATCTAATTTAACGTAAACTCAATATTCAACACTTTTTGGCATAGAGTATTTTTGAAGACCCTTTCAATTTTAATTTTTAGACAAATTTCGAATTTTAAACGAAAACAATTGAAATTATAAAGTTTCAATCAGCATCAATCGAATGTTAATGAGAAAATAGTTGCAACGGTGTTTTTTGGTTTTTTTTTGTTGGTTTTCTATCAAATCATAAAATATTTATCTATTTTATCGATTTGATTTACAAAAATCTTGCTTTTCAAACATTTTACATTCATTCTTGTGGGACTTGTTATCTTTTCAAAAACAAGCCAGTCTAATGGCGCCTAACGCATAGCATATCTAATTATCCTTCAATATTTAATTAATTAACAGTTTAGAAAACTCGGAACCTAGACGAAATAAGGAACTATTCAGCTCTGTTGCTCTACACTAAAAACGATAAACACATACGTAACGCCTGCCTGACTGTCCGCCTGCCTTGCTGGGCTATAGAATTGACACTAATCATTAATCATTAATTATTAATTATTATAATTAATTAAGCATTAGACATTCAAGATTGATGGCCTACAATATGCAGCACTGGCGCTCGCTGCGCTTCTCCGGCTTCGGCTCCAGCTGGAGCGCCATTTCCACATGCTTGCGCGCCAGCCAGGATTGTTTCTGGAGACGATTGACGACGATGCGATAGGCGCCAATGATGTCCGATCGCGGTCCGCTGGGTATGGCATTGATTAGCATCTGTGTGGTAACACCGAGCTCGGCGAGCAGCTGCCTGGCCTCGAACTCCAAGGCGCACAGCTGGCTGAGATCGTCCGTATTGGTGGGCAGCATTACACAGCTGCCCGTCTCCGCGTCGTAGTTCTTGAACAGGGGACAATCGTCGGCCACCTCGATGCTCCATGGACTTAGCTTGGCCGTTGGCCCGCCATTCGAGAGCTGTTTCTCCGGCTCCGTTTCGATGGGCGTTATTTTCTTCTTGAGTGTGCCGCAGAAGAGATAACGCCGACCGGGACCCGTACGCTTCACCGGCTCCCCATTCGCCTCCAGCTCTTTGGTATTGGCCGCCGCCGACGGCGGCTGTTGCTGCTGCTCGTGCCCCAGCTCGATGGGATGCAAAAAGCTGTCCACAAACATCTCGTCCTGCTGGCGTGTGTTCATGCTAATCGCCGGCTTCTTGACCACCTCCGCGTAGCGTTCCCGCAGCGAGGCGCTTTTCCGCAGCCGATGCGATTTGCGCACCCAAAAAATGGAACGCTTGGCGGGCTTGCTATGCAGATTCAATTCGAGCTGCATCAGCTCGACGCTCAGCTTGGGGCAGGTGACAAACTGGCTGTTCAGGATGTCGTCTATGGTCGGCCGCTGGGCGGGCACATGGATTAAGATTCGTTCTAGCGGGATTGAGAGACAGAGAAAGGGAGAGAAATTTTCATTAAAAGTTGAGAATATCTTTTAGATTTGAACCGGCGAGCTCGCGCATGCTAGTTCTACGCTCACGCAGTTTCACGACGAAACTTCGACAAACATTCTTGTGTCTGAGCGTTGAACTAACTTGGGAAAAGTCTCCGGCTCAAATTCAGCAGCTAGTTGCAATCTTAAATGCATTTCATAGAAACTTTGCCCAATTTGGAGGCACAGAATCTTCGAAAACCTCAGCAAATATGATCAGACACTTCGGATTTAGATAGATGAAACACTTACGAATTAGTCTTATGCAGGGCAAGCTCAGCTGGCCAGGCAGCAGATAGTCGCCCTTGAGTATGGCCGCCTTGAGGCCAGGTATGGTGGGTGCACGAAATGGCATATTGCCGACGACCATGAAATAGAGCAATATGCCCAGGGCCCAGACATCGACTGGGGCGCCAATATAATGGTCATCGGAGAATAGCTCTGGCGCCGCATACGGCGGCGAGCCACAAAATGTATCCAGCTTCTGATTGGCACCTGCAACGCACAGAAACTGTATAAAGCAAGTCGTGCACAGGGACAGGCGGGGATCAGCGCGCACCATTAATTAACTGTGTGCTGAAACCAAAGTCGGCCAGCTTGAGGCGATCCTCCGAGAGCAGCAGCACATTCTCCGCCTTGATGTCGCGATGCACATAGCCCAAGCTATGCTGTATGGGTGAGATGGCAAGCCAAATAGTTCAACTGATTTATCAGAGCTCTCTTTCTCTCAGCGAGATGACTTACCATGTGCTTGACGGCGAGCAGCAGCTGCTTGAAGAGTGGCGCCGCGTGTATCTCGCGCAGCGGCCCGCCCTGCGTGATGTGATTGTAGAGCTCACCGCCGCGTATCCACTCCGTGACCAGATAGACGCGTCCCAGCGTCTCGACCACCTCAAAGAGCCTGCTCAAGAGAGAGAGAGAGAGAGAGAGTTGAAGGAGGTGGATTTGGAATTCAGGCAAAGCCCGCTCACCTCAATATGTTGGGATGATGGACACACTCGAGCGTGGCTATCTCGCTGGAGAGCATGCGCAGCGCCTTCGCGTCCAGACCGGCGCGATCCAAGTCAACTACCTTGATGGCCACCTTGTCTGCAATAGTTGAGGTTCTCTTTGATTAACTATGTCAGAGTTTAAAGTGCAATTGGGTGTAAACCTGCCTCGTGTCAGCTGATGCACGGCCAGCTTGACCTTGGAGAAGTTGCCGCGTCCGATGTCGCCACAGAATCTGTAGAGGCCAATGCGACGTCCAATTGTTACCTGGCCAGTAAATATTGGTTCAAGGAAGAATTTGTTTACAAATTATTCTATTGATATACTGGCTAAATTAGAATACAGAAGAAGTTTCTTTCCAACTAGTTAAATGAATAAAATGCAGCAACTAATGCAATTAAAATGAATTTGGAAAATGACTTTGAGTAATCAGCTTAGGGCGAGGTCAAGTGCAGCCACATATGACAGCGTGTGTGGACTTTCAAATGCATTAAGATCCGCCTTTGCCTTGCGTCCGGCTTATGGTTAGCCAAGGTCAAGTGGGTCTGCAATTTGGTAAATGTAATTGGAGCAAAGCTGCTGCCCCTTTTGTGGCTGGGCTTTTTCTAATCCAAATGAGAGACAAAGCGGCGGCAGGCAGCGGCGGCAGCGGGCAGCGTTAATTAACGCCGTGCAATACGTGGCGTATACGTTATGCGGCGGAATTACATTTGCCACACGCGCATTTCGTATGCACACAAAGCGACAACAGCAACAACAAAAAAAAAACGATGAATGGCGCAAACACATACACACACACATATACGGAGACCAGCATACACACACACATACACACACAGAGCCGTTGTGCCCGCTCATTGGGGCGCAAGAAAATTAGCCTTGAACCACGACATAATTGCAGCGCAGCAGCTGCGACGCCGACGACAACGTTAACAGCGACAGCGACAGCGACTGCAAGCGCTGGTTTGTGCATTGGCTAACGAAGCGCGGACCAGGGTCGCAGCTGGGGTTTATCTGTCCGTAGAGCATTACTTTTTGATTTAAATAATACTATTATCATTGCTATTATTATTAGTATTATTATTCGTAAAGCCTGAATATGTAGAAAGGGAATAAAATGTATTTATCAGGCAGAAGGCAGCATCTGCGACCTCATAAAGTAAATATATCATTGATCAGCATCAATAGCCGAGTCGATTTAGACATGCCCGTTAGAATCTCAGAACCTATAGGTGCAAGAAACACAGGTTCTCCTAGTCTATCCGCAATACGATTTTGTTTTCGATAATCGAGAGCTTGTCCCGTTTTCAAGCGATCGATAAAATCGATATCGTGTTTTAATGTTTTTTAAGAAAATCTCTTATATTTTAAGAGAGTCGTCATATTTGACATGTAGCTTCAAGATACAGTATATAGATATATCAAGTATCTTTTATTATATATATATCTATATATATATATCTTTTATTATATATATATATATAGCTATCGCATAGAAATTGGTTCAGGGTATCCTTTAGTTAGGTGCTCCCGTCTAGAGTCTATTATTATTATTATTATCAATTGTAAATTGTAAAATTATCAACTGTCAAATATTGATTGTAAGTTGTCTGGAGTACTGATGTACTTAGGAAATTCTTCTAACCAATTAATTATTTTTATTTATTTCAATTTGCATTTAAACCAGTCGATTCCCAAGTCTAAAGTTTAAGTTGAAAGCTTTGGGACTTTTGCCCTAAGGAGTTTTAAAGTTTGATTTTTATATCTTAAATGTTAGCTTGGACTATTTTAAAAATTAGTTAAGCTCAAGCGAATTTGTGCTATTTGCAAACCTGCCCAAAGGTTGTTTTTAGGGTAAAATGAATAATTTACAAGCGCAAAGTCTGCAGCAAAAGTGTTTTGTCTTCGATTGAGATTTAGCTACAACATTAAACCCAAGCTGTTGCTAATACAATTTTCTCGAGAAATGTGCTGCTATTTGTGCTTGGTTTAATCGAGAAATAAATCCTGGAAAAACTTAATTCAATTACCAGCTGAAACTTGGTGAAAATTGAATTATCACGAAGAGCATATGCTAGAGATATATTTGCATTCATGCCTTCGTTTCAGTTAAGTCCGCTCCTGGCTGTGACGTCACACCCAAAGCCAGCACACGCCCCAACACAGCGCCCACCCACTGCCCGCTTGACCGCAACTCGAGCTGAACTCTTTATTGGCACTCACCTCGTGACCGCATCTCGGATCGCATTGCAACGCTTTGGTCAGCCGCTGATAAGGCGGCGTTGGCGCTGGCGGCTGACAAATTGTCAGCGGCGGCAGCGACAGCGGCGTCGACAGCGACAGCGACGTCGACTTTGGTGCCGGCGTCGTCGCTTTCACAGTAACGGAACTGCGCAGCGTGTTGGTATCCACGGCTGCCGTTTTGCTGCTGTCTCTGTCTCTGCGCCTGGGAGGGAGTCCTTCACTCAAAAGGGCGTGACGGCGTTGATGGCAACAAGTGTTGTACTCCTCCTCGGGTGGCTTGACTGTGGGCAGGATTCGGAGGCCGGCTCCCAAGTCCTGTTGACTATCCTCAACTTCGTCTCGTTGCCTCTGTGCCCTCTGCCTGTATTGCCCGGCTGTTGCCTGGTTGTTTGCCCAGCTAAACTCGTTTCTTGGTTGGCTGCCCAAAGTGTTGCCTTACATTATTATGAATTGCGCGCAAATCTGTAAATATATGCAAAATAAATCATAAATCCTAATTAGCTTTCTAAAAATTGTAAAACGTTTTTTTTTTTTAAATAAGGAAGTAGGCATATCCGACTTTCCTTTTCTCAGAACCTTTAGCCTGGCGACGACTCAAATCAATAGAAAACTTCCTTATCAAAAGTTTTCTTTCAGATTATATATTGTTTGTATTGTATATAAGATATTATAATATAGATATTAGATATTACAATACAGATATTGGATATCTAAAATCTTTAAATATTCAAGCCTTAAATTGAATTTGTTTTTCTTGCCTTTGACAAACCTTAAGATCTGATTCTTTTTGCGCTTTTCTGCATCTTTAAGTTGGAATTTTGAATATTAATATTATTTTGCGAAAAACTACTTAAGTTTGATATAGCCTCAAGCATTGTTATGTATGACATTTGCTCTCGAGAATACGTAGAAATAATCAACAAAAGATTAGAAAGCGATAGAGTGGCAAAATGGCAACAACTAAGAAGAAATTTACAGTTTTTTAATTTTCACGCTAAGAATTATCTGAAAATTAAACAGAATTTGAAGCGGAACATATCAAATCATAGAAAATTATGAATGGAATTTCATATTTAATTGGATTTGCTTCCACGTAGGGCGCACAAATCTATCAGAAATGTTGAAAACAGGGTGAAAGTGTTTTTGTATTGGGCAATAATTAGGGACAAGAGGTTAGTTAGGGCAAAACTTTGTAATCAATATGCGTCGGCCGAAATGCCTCATCTAATTAGAAAAGGCCGTCGACAGGCAACAGCCAAAGTTTAGTGGGGGAAAGAAAAAAAAAGGGCAAACATAAGAAAAGTAGAAAAAGATTTCCAATAAAGCCATAAGCAATGCTGTGTAATAATTTAATAATAAAAGGACTCGGTTGCAATTTCATTTTGCTGGCAACTCTTCCATAAAACATTCCCAAGACCCAACAAAAAATAAAAATAAATAAGAAGAAAAGGAAGGAAGAAAACCTTTGGGCGACGCACAGCAAAAGTTAACGTGAAGTAATTACGTAAATGGATTTTTGTGCGTTGCTCAAATTTCCTGCACGTCCTCTCAAATGAAACAGAGACACCAACAGCAACAACAACAACAACAACAACAATAATAACAATCATGTTTATATGGCTGTTGCCCTCGAAGCGTGACAGGAAGTTGCCAAGGAAGGAAGCTAGCTAAAGGCGCGCTCTAGAGATATGGCCAGCAATATTTCAACTATAAACATTTTTAAAATATTATACGCACCACAAGGCAGCTAGAAGAAGAGTGGTGAAGGGGTGTGCTGGGCATGTGGCTTAGCAAAAGTTTTATGACAACTGTGCGACAAGTGAGGCCATTTTTTTTTTTTTTTTTTTTATGATTGACTGACAGCTCTTCCACTGCAAATGGAGGAAAACCCAACATGTGGGCGGGGGCCATAGAATTTGGGGGCGTGCCAGGCAGCTGTTTGAAGTGTGCGTGCAATTAAATACACATTTGCAGCACACTTTTATACATTTGCATTTGCATTTGTAGATAAAGCGGCGCAGCAGCCGTTGACATTTTTCTGTGGCGCTCGAAAGTATGCAACAATTTTTGTTCGTACTTATCAAACATGGCGCAGGCAAAAAGCACTCGAATGTAATTACAGCTGTGCGTGTGTGTGTGTGTGTGTTACCTTGAATGTTTCTTGTTGCCACTCGACACTGGAGCGCATACATTTGCATGCTAATGCCAACCCTTTTAGCCCCCCCCCCACAACCCACCGACTGTGTTTGCGACTTTCAGGTGCTTGTGCGTGCCGCTAGAATTACACTTTTAATTACAAAACTAAACATGAATGCATTTTGATATCAAACGAAAACCGAGACGTGCTTATACTTATGCCCGCGCAGTGGTGGGCGTGGGGGTGGTGGGTGGAAGCTTGATAGTTGAGCTGCAGTTAAGCTGTTAGCCGCCATGTGGAACAGCCAAAAGTACTTTGCACAAACAGATGCCAAACAGATGCTCAGACTCAGCTCGCAAAATGCTAGCAATGGCATCTGCACTTAGGACTCTGGATCTGATGTGGGTCACACATAATTAAGTGCGCACCGAAACTTGCAGCTTCTGTCTGTCTGTCTGTCTGTCTATCTGTCTCTTTGTCTGTCTGTCTGTGGTAGGATGCATAAATTCAAAGCGTCACTTCGAGAAAAATTGGCTGCTAAATCGCAGATTTTCTTCTTTGAATGCAAAGTACTTTTATGCAATATTCGTAAATAATCAAATTTTGCATTTTTTGTATTTTAAAAATCTCAAGAAAAAGTCTTTAATTAATGCGTAGAAGCAGCTTATTCAGACCCCATAATTTATATATATTCTAAATCGGCATTTATGGTCTTAACGCTTCTCGGCTTTATTATTTCGCTGAGTGCAGCTGCACAGAGGAAAGAGCGAGTTTCAAAAGAACCTCGTATAATTGGTACCAAACTACTTTTTTGTTTTTGTCTTTTTTCTTTGCAGCTTGCATATGCATATTCAAAGAGGATTATGAATATAACAGCAGGATTTTTCTGAGCATGCTTGAAAGCAGCTTGTTGTTTGCAAATAATGATAGTCAAACGTTAATTAAAAAATTCCCAAGAAACTCGACTCGGCCTTATGTTAATTCAATTAACAGCTTGGATTGAATAACATAATTAAAGCAAAATACAGAAACGGCGCCGCAAATGCGACTCAACGGCCCTTTGTGGTTTTTTAGAGCCTCGTCTGTGTATATTTAATTGAAAGGCTTGTGTGCGCAAATATTTGCCACTAATTAAAGAATTTTACTTAATTCAAATCATTTTGCTGTCTTAAATAACACTTAACTATTTGCCCAATTCAATTAAAATGCGCTTAGGTCTATGTTTGGCTTTGCAACTGCCTCAAAATTGAAAATCTCAATATTATCAAAATAACCAAAGCAACAGAAAACCAATTGATTGACTTGATTATAAACTATTTAATCTGCACATCGCATGCACATCGAAAAACGACCTTCTGCCAGAAATAACAAACAATTAATTTTGAGCGCGTGGTTTGGAAAATTCCATTAGCCATGTTTATGCAAGCGGCTAGAAGCCAGGCTAAGCGAATCAGTTTGGGTAATTCAAGTCGACAACTTTTCCATTTTTCCGATTTTCATAGCGCAACGTTTATTATTAATCTTGCTCTTGAATCGAAATAATAACAAAAAGAAAATTCAAGTTTTTTCTTATTGTTTTTTGGGTCAAGTTCAATTTGTGCAACATATTAATTCTAAGGACTTGGCACTTGCGTCGCGCTGCAAGTTCAAACAAATTGAATGCCCCGCAGCGCTAAGTGAGCGTGCCGAACCCCCCTTCCCCCCTTCCATCTGAACCCCTCATCCGCTCAGCGTCTTAACAAGTTGATGATGCGTTGTCTGCGCTCGCATAATTAAAATATTTTTGTGCATGAATCATTTGCGAGTGCAGGCGATTCAGATGCGAACAAATTGCGTAGATGTCGCGCCGTTAAAAATAATGCAATAATCCAAAAGGGGGGGCGGGGCGGTCGTTGGGTGGATGTGGCTGTGTGTGGGCGTGTGGCATGAAAATAGATGTGCTCCAAAATAAGCTGCAGCTGGCTAACGAGCACAAGGACACTTTGTAGTGTGTGGTCAGCCAAGTGCAGCAGCATCTGGGAAAATGATGTGCTCGGCCACGCCCACTGGCCGCCAAATGCCTAGAAAATCAATGGAAATCTGCATAGTTATCGCAAGAGTCACACAAAAAAATGTGAGAAACAAGTGCATTAAATAAACAAAAGGCATTACCAAGCCGCAGCAAAGCGAAAGGAAAATGGCAGCAGCAGCAGCAGCGAGCAGCAGCTGTGTCGGAAGGAAGCATAGAAATGGCATTTATCACACAATTTGCACGTATAATTAATTAGTTTTTACGCTAAACTCAAAATGAAAGCCACTTGAAATTCTTCGCATTCCACATTCCAAATTCAATTTCAATTTGAATTTCATAAAGCAAAAGCGTCAACAAAAAACATTTGTTTGCGGGCGATTGGCGAGGGGTGTGTAGCTCCTGGCTTGTCCTTCAATTTCAACTAGAGCAACAACTAGAGGGAGAGGGGGAGGGGAGGGGGGCGCATAAAATGCTGCACAACAACATTTACATTGAATAAATGAGTAGCCAGGCGTTCCGAGCCATAAGTTGGTCAAAATATTATTCAGAGCAGCTCCACGACAAACAAAGACCCTAGACTTTGGTCTGACATATTTAATCTGAATTTCATTTTCTAGAACTTAATTCCATTATTCTTGGATATATTTATGAATATGTTTATAAATGAGATCTAAAGAGGGCAGTTTCCTGCAGAAATATATATATCATACAATGAGGAATAGGTATTTCAGTCAGGACAGATAAAGATAATCCAAATTATGTTTTCAAAATAGAAAATTAAGATCTTTGACATTCAAAGCTCTCAACTCTAGCTCCTAACTCAGGATTAAAGATTGGAACCTTTCAGAACAAATTTTATTATTTTAATCGGTTTTTTGACTATTACTATTACGATTTAAACCATTAAGACCCACTTTAACATCGGCTTAAACATTAACTTGTTTGTTGCCCATGTTACTGTTAAGCCGGCTGCCAAAATGTAACAAGCAGTTAACAGGCTCAAACTAACATTTTGTTAATGCAATTATTAAAGCACAAACGTGCCGAAAGTCCATATAAATTATGTCTTACACACAAATTGCGGCCAATAAATAACACTTGAGTTTTGGAGCCGAGCAAATGGTTAGTTAAGTGGCTGGAGCTTCGTCTTTCAGCTGTTACAAGCAATTCAAGTGAACCAAAGTGCCCGCCATTATAATTCTCTAATGGGCATTCGCAATAATGCAAATACTCGCACTTTCCAGCCAGGCACACGGCCAGGCCAGAAGAGACCAAGCGCCG